CCTGTTAGGACCGACTACGACGACACCGACGACAACGACCAGGACGACACCGACGACGTCCCCGACGACTTCGACGACGACAGCGACGCCGACGACGACGAGGACGACGACGACAACGCCAACGAAGACGACGACGAGGGAGGAGGAAGGACGACGACGGCGACAATAACGACAACGACGACAACGACGAGGGAGGAAGGAGGACGGCGACGACGCGAACGACGAAGAAGGAGGAAGGACGGCGACGCCGACGACGACAACGACGAGGGAGGAGGGAAGACGACGACGACAACGACGACGACGACGACGGCGACGAAATAGGAGGGACGACGACGAGACGCCGACGCCGACGACGACGACGACGACGGAGGAGGAGGAAGGACGACCATGGCGACAACGACGACGGAAACGACCACGACGCCAAAGAGGACGACGACGACGACGAACACGGGGAAAGACAGAGGACGACGTAGGCGACGACGACGACGACGACGACGCGGGAGGAGGGAGGACGGCGACGACGACGACGACGACGAAGACGACGATGACGCAAGAGCGCGCGCGCACGCTTTCGTTGAAAATCCGTGTTGCGAAACCTTTGTTTGTTGTAGGTTTGTTGGACACGATTTTGAAATCCTTCCGAAACCGATGGGTTTTGAAGGTTTTCGGCATACGCCCGCGACGACGCGCGCGTCTGCACTTCGTCCCATTGTTTGCAGAGGATTCTCGCGACGGCACACGCGCAAGGGCGTTCGACAGATTTCGACATGCGCGCGCGCGAAGCCCGTTTGGTAGAATTTTGTAGAAATCTTGAAAAAAAAATCTGGTTTTGTTTGAGATTTCGCAAGAGCTCGCGCAGAAGCTTTTTTAGCAAATCAGTGTTGCGAAAACCTGTGTTTTTTTGTATGTGTTTTTTGGAATCTCGATTGCGAAATCCTTCCGGCACCGAAGGTTTTTGAAGGATTGCGGCATGCGCGCGCGACGACGCGCGCGTGTGCACTTCGTCACATTTGTTGCAAGGAAAAAGTATTATGCTAGAACCAAAAATGTCACCGCATAGTGTTTTTTACAAGGGAACCTCCGGGCTGGCATTTGACATTGCGATTTCATAGTTTGGATGGACACGCGGTCAGAATCGCATTTGATTTACATACCCGAAGGGTGAAGTGATAACTCCGGGGGGGGTAGATCCTATTCTGTTTTGAGCAAGGAGAATCAAAGGGGAGGAGCGTGTTGTACAATATAGGTTGTGCGATCTACGCGGTGCAATGTAATCTTTGACCGTCTTGAAGCTGTCCTCTCCGCTTCTCGTGCAAACATCCCACCCTCCCACCCGGAACTTGGTCGCAAGACCTCTTAAGACAAGACCGTGGCGGTACGTAACACATGACACTTGGCCACGACATCGACGCCGACGACGACAGCGACAACGACGACGACGGCGCCGCCGACACGATGTCTCCAACGACGTCGAGGACGACAACGACGACACCGACGACGACGACGACGACGTCAACGACGCCGACGACGACGACGACGACGGCGACTACGACGACACCGACGACGTCTCCGACGACTTCGACGACGACAACGACGCCGACGACGACGACGACGAAGACGACGACGACGTCGCCAACGAAGACGACGACGAGGGAGCAGGAAGGACGACGACGGCGACAACGACGACAACGACGACAACGACGACAACGACGACGGAGGAGGGAGGACGGCGACGACGCGAACGACGAAGAAGGAGGAAGGACGGCGGCGCCGACGACGACAACGACGAGGGAGCAGGGAAGACGACGACGACGACGACAACGACGACGACGACGGCGACGAAATAGGATGGACGACGACGAGACGCCGACGACGGACGACGACGACGACGACGGAGGAGGAGGAAGGACGACCACGGCAACAACGACGACGAACACGAGGAAAGACAGAGGACGACGTAGGCGGCGACGACGACGACGCGGGAGGAGGGAGGACGGCGACGACGACGACGACGACGACGACGCAAGAGCGCCCGCGCACGCTTTTGTTGAAAATCCGTGTTGCGAAACCTTGTGTTGTTGTAGGTTTTTTGGACACACGATTTTGAAATCCTTCCGAAACCGATGGGTTTTGAAAGTTTTCGGCATGCGCGCGCGACGACGCGCGCGTCTGCACTTCGTTTTATTTTTTGCACAGAATTCTCGCGACGGCACACGCGCAAGGGCGTTCGACAGATTTCGACATGCGCGCGCGAAGCCTGTTTAATAGCATTTTGTGACAATCTTTTATATATATATATGTGTATAAACAAAGAACTGATTTTCTTAAGATTTCGCAAGAGCTCGTGCGGAAGTTTTTTTTAGCAACTCCGTGCTGCGAAACCCTGTGTTTTTGTATGTTTGTTGGAAACTCGATTGCGAAATCCTTCCGGCACCGAAGATTTTTGAAGGATTTCGGCATGCGCGCGCGACGACGCGCGCGTGTGCACTTCGTCCCATGTCGTGCAAGGGATGCTCGAAAAAGTGTTATGTTAGAACAAAAAATGTCACTGCATAATGTTTTGTTTTTACAAGGGACCCTCAGGGGGGGGGGATACCGGCCCCCCTGGGATAGTGTAAATTCATATTTAGGATGGACGTGTGGTCAGAATCATATATGATTTACATACCCGAATGGGGTAGTGATAACGCCGGGGGGGGGAGATCCTATTCTGTGTTTAGAAAGGAGAATTGATGTGACTCGCTATATACAGGTGTGTGCTGTGCAGTGTATATTGTGAAGTACATGTTGTGCAGTGTACGTGGTGAGCTCTATGTGGTGCACTCTATGTGGTACGCACTCTTTGCGCCGACGAGGTGGCGACGAGGCGGCAACGGCGACCACATAGCCGCCAGAGCGGCACACTGGCGCAGGCGACGGGCGGCGATGAGAAGGCGACGGGACAGCGACGGCGCCTACATAGCCGTCAGAGCGGCACACCAGCCGAATTCCATAGAAGGGAAGTAAGAACCCCTAAAAGTAAGCACATTTCTGTGAAAATTGTACAACATAGATTGCACCACAGTCTGCATCACATAGACTGCACCGTCTACATTTCACAATATATGTTGTTCCACATGGATTGCCCACCGCAGATTGCACCACATATATTGCACATTATAGATTGCACAACATAGATTGCACAACATAGGCTGCACAACAGAGATTGCGCGACAGATATTGCACAACTTAGATTGCACCACAGATATTGCACCACGTACATTGGTTGCTCCATATATGACACAGCGAATGGCATAGATGGCATCGCATTAAATTACGCAACAGATATTGCAGATCGTGTGTTGATTAACATATACTGCGCAACATAGGTTACACAAAATCGAGTGTACCACATAGACTGCACAACATTGATTTCACCACATAGGTTGCTCCACATGGATAGCACCACTTCTATTGTTTGAAACACACTGCTTGGCTCCCAAGCTGGCTAACACACATACAGATGTATGGATGTGTATCTGCATCTAGAGATAAACCTCTCTCTCTCTCTCGCCCTCTCCCCGTACTCATACCTATTCGGTTGAACGCGCGAGTCGGTGGATTCGCACATGGCCGTTGCGACATTATGTTTCTTAATCACGCGCTTGCTGGTGCTAGGATGATGCAGTAGCTGCACCGCGCGCGGACAAACATACGCGCACGCACGTGAACCCTCCATGAGAATTATGTACTGGTTCGTCTCAGCAAGCAAAATATGGAGTACGAACGCACATGGGCACTCTGCGTACGTAACGCACAAAAGCGAATGGCGGCACTGATATCGCACAGATATGCGCTGTATAGAGAATCCGTACACGCGTCGCGAGTTGCAGATGAAGGTGCGTGATTGGCCAACGGCATCACCGTTTTCCAGTCCCCGCAGGCATGGACATGTCACAGCCCAATCCAGCTGTAAGTAATCGCCATTATCTGGCCCGGGTTGTGCTCTCTTGCCAAACCTGAGCGGAGCGAGACCCCCGGGCCTACGAGCCACCGGCGTGAAGCTCGCCCGTCGAGATGCGGGCTCGTGCGTCCTGTGTTGGTCCGCATGTTGCTGGCTCTGCACGGAAAGGTAAGCTGAAACGGCGCTACGCACCTTGCCGCCTCTGGCACCCCGACGTGGACATCCCAGTGTCATCTGCGATAGCAGCACGCGGTGCCGACGTGAAGGGTCCTCGCGATGAGGTGGGCAGCACGCTCCGTGCGAAGCTGCATCTTCCACTCTGCTTGGCCTCGTCTGCTCTTGGCTCGCGTCCACACGCGCCTGCCCCATCCATCGGTCGCTCTCCTCCTCTGTCCTCCCTCCCTCTTCGCGCTCCCTCTTCCCCCATCTCGGCGGCGCGCCGAGGGGAAAAGCGACGGGGGGGCAGGCCTTTGCCGAAGGCGGCGGGGCTTCTCGGAAGCCCTCCGGCCTTCGGAGAAGACGTCTGTCTCTCCGGGAAAAAATTGGAGAGAGCTCCTCAGTAGCCTTCGGAGCCTTCTGAGACGGCCCGCCCCCTCCTGATTTCCCTCCTGGGCGCGCCGCCGATGATCGTCTCTCTCCTCTTTTCGTCCTTCCTCCTCCTCCTCCCCCTTCGCAACCACCATACGAGCGACGCAGAAGTCTGGGGTCGTCTTCATCGACGCTGGCGCGTAAGCTGCCCGTGCAAGGTCGCGCGGAAGCGCCCTCGTCTCCAGTGTGGCGTGCCGCGTTGGCGGCCCTCGTGAGCCACCGCATAAAGGTAGCTACCTCTCAGAAGCCAGGCGAAGGCTGGCAAACCCGTGGCTGCTAAAGCGGAGCTCCGGGAAATTTGCTTTTGTTCCTCCGGGAAGCAGCCCGTTTACCATGGAGCGGTCCGAGCTCTCTTCCGGGAGTGTGCGTCCTTCTTCCGGGAAGGCACCGTTCTGGCAGCCGCGGATCTGCCAGCCCTCGCCCAGCTTCCAAATGTCGTCTGGCGTAAGGCCGGGTCGTCTGGCGTAAGGCCGGGTCCTCGCCGTCGCCCATGTGCCACGCGAGGTCGCGCGGCTGCAGGAGCCCCCGACGCCCCCTGCGCCGCCCCGCGCGTCCGCGGCCGCGGTCGCCGAAGAAGCCCAGCACCCCTCTCGCCCCGGGGGCTGCAGCGGGAGCGGCAAGAGCGCCCCCGCGGCAGCGACAGAGGGGGCTGCGGGGCCCGTTTCGATTCCTTCGGTTCGATGCGACTTCGACGCCGATGGCCTCCGGTTCCGCCTCGACACTCGGCTCGGGCTTCCCTGTGCGGGCCCCCGGTGTTTTTCACTGGAGGCATGCTGGTCTGCCGATGTCCGCCGGTCCGCTTCATGTCGATCGCCGATCCGACTCATCGTTTCGATCAAGGTTAAGTCGGGCCTGTCCCTCTACAGGAGGAACATTCAAAACTTATTTAAAAATCGTGTGGGAACGATGTTTCGAGTATTTTTGGGCATGTTCTTGGCATTTGTTTTGTATGTTTTATTTTTCGTCCACAATCCGCCTGTAGGGAAACAGGCCCGACTTAAGATTAAGTGGCTCTCCTGGGGATGGGCTCCGGGGGACAGTCGCATCGAGCCCCGATCGCCCACGCCTCGCCGAAGGGGGCTGGATAGCCCCGCGCCCCGCCCGAGGACGCGTGAGTCGGTGATCGAGGGCCCGTCTCTGAGCTGTCGGCGAGGCGTCGCCGGTTCCAGGTCGAGGTTCCCCCCCCCATGCGCCAGTCCCCCCTGTGACAGGGGGGACTGGTGCCGAGGGGCAACGGCAGTGTCGTTGCCCCTCGGCGCCAGGAGGTTGGACGCACTCGATGCGGCCGCCCTGGGCGAGACGCGCGTGGCCGCAGCTCTTTCCATCGCCACGGCATCGCATCAGGACCTCGCACGTCCGGGGAGGAGTGGCTCTAAGGCCCGGGGGGGTGCGATGTCCGCACACCGTGCGTGTTCGCCGGAGTTCGGGCCCTGCGGCCCTCGCAGATCGATCAGGCTCAAGAATGCAGCAGAAGGATGGGATCTAGGACTCCAGTCGTATCTGTTTTACGATGTTGCAATTTTTGTCGCGCCGTCTGGCGCAAGGCTTCTGACCTGACCTGACCTGCATGTTTTCCGCGCCGTCGGATCTCAGGGTGGGTACGACAAGAAAGGACACAAAGCCCGACAGCAGTTCCTGCCCATTTTGAACCGGATTCGCTGTCGGTGCCGCCGCGGACGTGGCCCATTTGAGGCACAGAGTCGCCTGCCCAGCAGCGGCCGCTGCCGATGTGGCACAGCATTTGCTCTTAGACCCCGTCGCCATTCATTCCGTACCCATACTGCGGGCGTGAGAATTCGAGCGCTTGGCCCTCGTATGGCTGGGCACGCATGTTCACGTGCGTGTGCGTGTATGTTTGTGTGTGTCGGTGTCTGTGTCTGTGTCTGTGTCTGTGTCTGTGTATGCGTGTGTGTCTGTGTCTGTGTCTGTGCTTGTGTTTGTGCTTGTGCTTGTGTTGGGGTTGGGGTTGGGGCTTGTGCATGTGCTTGTGCTGGTGCTTGTACTTGTGCTTGTGCTTGTGCTTGTGTGTTGTATGTTGTGTGCTGGGCGTGTGCTTAGGTTTGGGTTTGTGGGTTTGTGGGTGCCTGCGTGCATGCGTGCGTGCGCGCGTGCGCGTGATTGTGTGTGTTTGTATGTGTTTGTATGTGTTTGTATGTGTGTCTGTGCTTGTGCTTGTGCTTGTGCTTGTACTTGTGATTGTGTGTGTTTGTGTTTGTGGTTGTGTTTGTGTTTGAGTTTGTGCTTGTGTGTGTGCGTCTGTGTGTTTTTTTGTTTTGGTGTTTGTCTGCGTGTCGGCGAGCGGCCTCCGCATGGTCCACGCGCGGAGGCCTCCGCGTGAGCCTTCCAGCTGCCCGGTGGTCGGCTCTGCTGGGGGGCGGGGGGGGAAGGGGCGCGGGAGAGGGGGGGGGTCACCCTCCCGCTGCCTCCTCCGTTCCACTTTGCGCCTGCTGACTCCTCCACGCGCCCGCGGGGAGGAGGGGGAGGAGGAGGGGGAGGAGGAGGAGGAGGAGGAGGAGGAGGAGGACCAGTGCGAACCGAAGGCTCAGCAACGATGCTGGAACAGACCCTCCCTCCAAGCTCCCTCGTCGTAGGCCCCGTACCAGGGCTCATGTCCACTGGGGGAAGTGTCCCGTTGGGAGACAACCGTTTGAAAATCCTGAAGCGTACCAAAAACACCGTTCTCAGGATTCCAACGCCAGGAATCACCCTGACTGTTGCATCTTGACGATCCAGAATCCTGCCATAAGAACCGTTCCAAAACACAATTTCTGGTACGTTACTCGTGAGAGCCCGTGAAGCTCCCGCAATGTTGTGCAACAATTTTGCGCGGCGCAAAGACAAGAGCCACAGTTTGATTCGACCCGCCCTCAATCCGTGAAACTCTTGCTTTCCGAAATAACAAATTCGGCGATAAGGAGAGAGCCACATGTTGAAAACGGCCCGCTTTCAATACGTGAGCCCCTTGCAACTATCTTAAACAAATGTGCGCGGTGCGATGGCGAGAGCCACAATTTGCAAACCACCCGCCTTCAATCCGCGAAACCTCTGCACGCCGTTGAAACCAATTCGCGCGGCGCTAAGGCGAGAAGCAATTTGAAAACGACCCGCCCTCAATCCGCGAGACTCTTGCAACATGGTAAGACACATGTGCGCGGCGCGAAGGCGGGAGCCACATGTTGAAAACCACCCGCCCTCAATTCGTGAAACTCTTGATATGTTGAAGACGAGCACACGCGGCGCCAAGGCGAGAGCATCATTTTGAAAACGACCCGCCCTCAATCCATAAAGTCACTGCCAATCATCAGGATCATAAATGGTAAGGAAGCTCCGACTGACCTCGGGGTGCGACAGGGAGGAGTTGTGTATAAGGAATGGAGGAGGAGAAGGAGGAGGAGGGGGAGGAGGATTACAAGCACAGTGAAGAGATCTTGAGGAGAGATTATGCAGGCTCTGTGAGCCCATCAGCCGCAGCTCGCAGAAAAAAATCCGGAGTCACTGACATCGTCTTTCCGAGACTCCAGAAATTGGTTGAGATTCCAGGCCCAGACGCACATACTCACCGAAATGTTGGACTGAGGCCTTGCGCGCGTCGTCACGTGGCGTTTTCTCCCTCAACCTCCTCGTCCTCCTCCCTTTCTCCCCCTCCTCCTCGTCCTCATTGTCGTCCTCCTGCTCATCGCATAGATTGTCCCCCCATTCCTCGTCATCCTCCATTGTATAGATTCCATCTTCTCCGCCTCAACTCGCCATCACCACCACAGGGGTCGTCTCAATCAGATTGAATAATTCCTCTACGCCACCACCCCCTCCTTTTCAGCCACCCACAACACCACTGTGTCTCTCCTCCTCCTCCTCCACCTCTTGCTCCTCCCCAACCGCAGCCATTTTGGCTCAAGATGACGACCTGGGGGGCTGTCCAGCCTCCAGGCCGAAGGGAGACCTCTGGACCGAGGACAGTTCCCAGACGGGCGTCGGGCGCGCGCGCGGCATCGCAGCAGCCATGGGGAGTGGCGGCAGCGGACGCGGGGCGGGCAGCGCTTGGTCGGGGACCCCGTATCGCCAGAGGGTACCCCCGTGGAAGAGGAGCAGCAGTGGCAGTCGCCCTCCTCTCAGCAGCTACGTGGTGTGCGACGGGTGCAGCAGATGGCGCTACTGCAAGAATATCACCAGCAGGGGCGACCTCTGCATCTGCGGCAAGAACATCGCCAGCCTCGTTCCCCACGGTCATGTCTTCCGTGAAGACGATGGCGGGTGGCTGGCAGCACAGCCCCAAGGAGGAACCTCGCCCAGGATCAGCTGGGCAGATGGTTGGCAGCCAGGTGGTGGAGCAGGCGGGAAAGGACAATGAGGCCAACGCCAGCCACCACCGCATGACAAGACAGCCGACCTCAAGGCTGCCGCCGCAGCAGCTTACAGCAAGCTCAACAAGGACGACCCGCTCAGGCAGCACTACGAGGCCCTCTGGCCAGAGCTCGCCGCAGCCAAGCCACCAGCAGACCAACCAGTTGCTGGATTCAAGGCAGTGGAGGCAGCTGCGCGACGCTTGGACAAACTCCAGAAGAAAGTGCGATCGGCAGGAGAGCAAGTTGAGAGTGCCCAGCAGTACTTGACCGAGAGTGAACGCAAGCTTCGAGAAGCCATGGAAGCCTCCATTGCAGCCGAAGATCAGTTCGACAAGCTCAAGGCCACAGTCGGCAAGCAAGAGGCACCAGCTGAGCCTGCAGCCGAGAAGCCAACCCTGGCAGCCCTCCTGGAGCAGTTCGAGCACGAGCCCGACGACTTCCAGCAAGTGGTCCGAGCCAGACAAGGAGGTCTGGCGGGCAGCGAAGGCCAAGGGCGAGCGGATGGCCCAGACGGTCAAGGAGCACGAGGAGCAGACGGCGAAGCACCTGCGACTGCTGGAGGAGGAGACGGCCAGGCACCAGGAGCAGCTGCGCCAGCTCGAGCAGGCCCGCACCAAGCGCCTGTCAAAGAGTGAAGAGCAAGACCCAGCAGCAGCAGACGCCCCACCAGGCAAGCGAGTCTGCGCCGCCAGCCCAGCCCCTCAGCGAGGTGCCACCGCATGCACTGAGGCAGCAGGGACAGCTGGAGCGGCTGCGCCCACCGGCGCCGCAACAGCTGCCCAACCTGGAGCAGGTGCAGCAGAACATGACAAAGCAGAAGAACGCCGAGCCAGAGTGGAGGCCCACATCCAGGAGGCGCGAGAGAAGGTCTCGCAGGCAAGGCGCGCCGAGACAGTCGTCGACGCAGAAGGGCAGGGCGACCACTCAGCGGGGTAGCCGTCCCAAGGCGAGCGTGAAGAAGGCTCGCCGCCCGTGCCACATCGACTTCTTCAACGTCACGACCTGGGGCCCCCAGGCACAGGGCTACCTCATGGAGATCAACAACACCAAGGACAGGGATATCATTGGCACTGCGGAGCACCACCTCCGCCAGCCTGCACAGATAAGCACGGCAAGAGCAGCGCTCAGGAGGAATGGCATGCACAGCTAGTGGACCAAGGCACGGCCAGGAGAAGG